AAGCGTTCTTGGTTAAAGAACTTGGGAAGTACTTGATCCTTAGGTTTTCGTTATTCGAAATGTCTCCTGCTTCGATCAAGTATCTCGCCACATGCTCGACAGTAGATTCTGTCGTGTCCCCAGAGAACTTAGTAAATTTGGGGACTTTGCATCTAGGAGGTAAGTCCGTTTGTAACACGTATTCTGACAATGGAGATGTAAAGTTGGGTCTTCGAAAGCCCATGTTCATCCCATTCTGAGTCATGATCCTTTCGATCATGGTTGCCAGATTGTTTTCCAAACCCATGTTTTGGTATTGGATATGCTGAACCACTTCGTCAGCATTTTGGTTTCTGTTAACTAACCTTACCTCTGGGGTTATTACCCTAGGTTCTTCGACAGGTTGTTCCAATCGTGCCCTAAGGTTTTCTTCGACAGGCTGTTGAGCCTGGTTAATGGTGGTTTCTTCCTCTACAAATATCCCCTGGTTTCCCCTTATTTGCGCCCTTTGGGGCTGTCGAATAGGTTGGGGTACTCCAAAGAAGTCAGCCAAACGTGTCATTTGCGCTGTCACTTGCTGATTCGATTGAGTAGTGTTTTGTATTAGAGGGTTTAGCACTGTACTCAAAGTTTGTGCCAACATTTGCACCATATCATGGTTGCTTTCGTCCATTTGTTGCCTCAAGACTGCTGTCGAGGCATTTGTAAGGCCATGGGCTACTTGGGACGTTCCTCCTAAGAGTTGGGTCCTATTTCTATTCGCCATGCCTACTCCAGAGCCTTGGAGTGGCGAAGAGGCACTCACGAAAGGGTCTGAAAAAGTGGACGCAGCATTCGTCAGGCTTGCCACTTCAGAAGTTGGCATACCATAGAATGGAATAAATCCTGGGGGAACCAAAGGCCTTGTGCCTAAATTTCCCCTTGGTGGGGGGGTTCCCAAAGGTATCCTAGGGCCTGTTAACGAAGGTATTGGCCCCGTGGTTGTGACCGATACTGCTGGTGTCGAACCAACATTTGTCGCTTCACTTACGGTCATACTAACCGTTGCTCCCACACTCGTTTGTGAGATTTCGTTATTGTTTGGCGGATTCACCATCTCTTCCCTTCTTCTGGCAGTATTGTTATCGTTAGTGTATATTCTACCACTTCTCAATAACATACAACTCGAAAAGATGAGATTATTTTCAACAATCAACACACAGTCCCACCAGGTGTGCCAATTTGTTTACCTTGGGTTTTGGTAAACAACCGCTGATCCTCCAAATGGTTACTTATTTGGTTACTCGCAGGATCGATCAGATTGATCCTAGGACATAGGTTGATTTTGAAGTTTGATTGAATTGGATAAGGCTTTAAGTAAATTGGCTTTAAATGAATTGCATAAAGGAAAGACTTGGTAAAATAAACAAGGTTTAAAGTAAAAGGTTCGACAGGAATTTAAAAGAAAAAACAAGTAAATTTCTGGAAAAGTAAATGACTTTAATTGATAAAATTGGTGTTTCACACATACATTTCTCAACAATTCTTTCTCACACGCTGGGTACTCGAATCTATATGAGTGACTTTGTATAGAATTGTGAACACACGCGAGAAACTACATGTCTACTCCTATTTATACTAAAACATCCCAAGTAACCGTCGGGCAGTTACACTGCTTCGAGATCAATCCACTTGGCACGTTCCCCATGCTCGACGCTCCAGATCCTTGCACGTTTGCACGTGGTAACTGCTGGAAACCGTTTTCCCTCCAAACGCTTGAATTTCAAACTGCTCCACTCTGGACCATCGAACACTTTCGTCAAGAGACATCTTCGACGAGAAACTCCTTCGACGTCGAAGGCAATCAGCCTTCTTCCTTGGAAGAAATCTTCTAAGTACTTTGCCATCTTTCGACGGGCATTTCGACAGACTTAACCAGTCGAAGACATCCTTCAGCTTTAATGGCTGACATCAATCAAAACAAAGGTGTCGAATTTAGGAGCCAACAGGGTATTGCTTTATTGATCTTTAGCAACTGGTATAAATGATAACTAATCATTCTTTTAAACTAAGTAGTACACCTATGTCCATTCAGTTTCTGTAAACTATTGATAACATATGTTTGAGAAATAATGAGATGCTCATGGTTATGTTGCTGCCCTGACACTTGGTTCTCAAGGTGTTTGTCTAGGAATTAGGTATTGAAATGTTTAAATTTATGTATTTGATATTTAAGAAAAGCGTAAGCGTTTTTATCATAAGGTTTGTTGATTTTTTGTGATATTCTCGATAATTGTGATAAAAATAAGGTTTGTTGATTTTTTGTGATATTCTCGATAATTGTAGCATTTTTACGTTAAGAAAATAATAATGGAAATACAAATCTTTATTTTAGAAATCAATCATGAGTCTCTTAATTGTAAAATAATTCTTTGTTACCGTGCCACTGGAAACATTCAGTCTCTAACAGGTTCTTATTACTTTGATGTGTTGGTTGAAATTCACATCCCTTAAATCTGAACTTGATTTTAGAGTCAATCTCAACCAATTCTAACAAGACTTTGATTCATCTCCTAACCCTATTTCTAGCAAAATTTGACTTCTACAAAATATCAAAAGATTCATGATTATATATAAAGCTAAATATTCCAATTTGATGTTGTTTCCTTTTCATATTTGGCTTTAAGCCTTTTACTGATTGATTATGAAAGCATGTTTCAGTAATAACCTAAACTTCCCTCCAAATCACTGTCTTACGCTTTGTTGTCTGAATGTCAGTTCACCTTCTCATCTATGTATACCAGATTTCATGAGAATTGTTTTATCACTTAGCATTTTGTTTATGAATGAGTGTTTAATCATAGTGTTAGAATTCTTGAAGTTTTGTATCCATGGTTTCACTTTTGCTTTATCATAGAATTGGGCCAAACACCGGTGAGACTTTAGTGACTTTGAAGTTTCATAACTTTGGTGACTTTAGTTATATTTGATAATAGAGAAAGTGAAAAAAGAGAAAAATTAGATGAAGTCAATACTTATCATAGATTAATCCATAAACTACAGCAGCCTTAACTATGTCACATGCGTGTTCGTAACTACAACAGATAAAACTAAATTGCATATAAATCAAGTTCATTGAAAATCATATGTTTTTTGGTACTCTACCATTATGGCAATTAAACAAACACTTACCATGCACCAAAATGGTAGTTTGAAGAAGGAATTAGGTGACAAAAGATGATTCACCTGGCGAATCAGTTATGTTTGCAACAATGATGGTAATGATGATCATAACTCAGATCGTAATGATGATGGTGGGTTGGTGGAAGAATTTCTCCTTGGTCTGATTTTTTCAGAATTTCAGTCTTCGTCATTGTTTCTAGATAAGGAGGTTACAACAAAATGATAGTATAAACATTCTTAGCTATTATGAACAAAAGCCAAAGGTTAACAAAACAAACACTGCAAAATCAGTGCCAACTTTGAAATTACATATATAATCATATATTTAACCCAACATATATCTCATACACCAACTTCATATTACACGGTAACATGTGTACATAACAAATTTTATTATTTAAGAATTTTAAAGTGGAACTGAATCAGACCTAAAAATAAATATTCAGAATAAAATTTTCAAAACTCATTTTTGTTCAATCCCACTTCAATCAACTACAGTGGCTTAGTTCACTATATTTTCACATCTAGAAACCATTAAGTTCACTATACTTTCAATTGAGTACACAAAGATCTATGAATCTCAACAAGAAATAAAAGACATTTTATTCAACTTCACAATAGAGTTAACCATCAATATTAAGAAACCATTCACCCATTCTACAATAATAAAAAAAGGAACAAAAATACAGTGGCAATGTCGATATGTACAAAAAGAATCAATCAATAATACTAAACAAACCTCCTCTAAAGTATGAAGGTTCTGGTTCAACACATGTTACAGAAACAAACCAAACCATAACATAATATATGTGAGATTAATAAATTACATAATAATAACATGCCTTTCGAACGAACTCCAAGAGTATGTTTTTTCTTTAAAAATACAAAAAAATGGAGCCATCTTCTAAAAGTTCATATTTCATTGAATGATCATATATCCACTGCAATATTGGTTTTGGCAATGAAAGTGTCTGCAAGGAAGAAAAACACATACACAAAACTAATTAAATTTAGGAACCAACACAAATCCTAAATCTTAACTTTTAAATCTTAACTTCCAAATCTTAACTTCCAAATCTTAGCTTCAAACAAACACTAATTCTAAATCATAAAGAGCAAAAATCACAAAGAAAACCACTAACCTTTTGATTACTGAGACGATCGTAGAAATCATCGATGAAATAAAGATATAGAGGAGGTGAAGACGAAACATTAAGAGATAATGAAAGATGTGAGATTCAGAACACCAAAACAGAAACAAAAACACGAAGATTTGGACTAGGAAAGACACAAATTGATTAGTGGAGATCTGAATGCGATACAAATTGGAAGATGAGGGTTGAGGTTTAGGGTTAGGCAAGAATAAATCGTTTAGATTTGGTTAAGTGGACAACTTGAATATGAATTTAAACTGGAATTTAGAAGACCCATAAAAGCATCATTGAACTCAGTTAGATTCAGATACCGACATGTCCAAGAATACAAATTCTGACCCAACTAAACCGCCTCAACCCTATTTAACCACCCGACGATCCAACAACCCGACTCAATACCTCAGAAAACACACGGGCTAGACTGAGTTAGGTGGGTTGATGTTTTCTTTTCCACCCTTATTATCAGTAATAATTGGTTAACATGTGACCAACTTGCAGTATCCTTCTAGAACACAATATGTTGTCGATGTCACAACACGATTTGGTGGTGTTTATGAAGATCCGTTGTCATCGTTACTACAGGTCAAACATACAGGAAAGGTACAACACTACATAGATCAACTCGAGCTTTCCTTGACTCATGTTTCTCTTCTCCCCGAGCATTCTCTTAATATCTTTCTTGTTGGTCTTGAACATCAGATACAAATGCATATGCGTATGTTCAGCCCTACCTCTATTAACCATGCTGCTAACCTAGCCAAGCTCCATGAATATTCTCAACCTTCTTCTCATCAACCTCCTTCAAGATTTTCAAACTTCCCCAAATGCCAAGGCATATTATTGAAACCCATCATTTCATCATCCAACAATTCTACAAAAAATACCCTTAGAAACAATTCTTCTAACCCACTCCTTGTACCCACCTATAAACCTAATCCTCAACATTTTAACCGCACTTATTTTGCTGCAGAAATGGAAGAACACAGATCCAAAGGATTACTCATGTTTTGTGATCAACAATTTACTCTGGGTCATCAATTCAAATATAATCGCTCCCAGCTCATGGTTTTGGAACTTGATGATGAGAACCAAGTATAAGATCCAACCACAAATGAACACCTCATTCCGAAACCAGAAAAAATTCAAGATTTTTAGAACCTTTGCTCAAGTGGTCCATAAAGGTGCAAAATATGTGCTTAGAGGGGCCAAAACTCCCAGTTTCAAGATTTTGCACCTTTGCTCAAGTGGTCCATAAAGGTGCAAAATTATGTTTTCTTTCAATAAGTACTGATGCCTATTCGCTCGATTTTCAAACTTGTTTCGCCTTACAAGCTACTGATCAACCTACCTCTTTACCTGCTATCATTGTCCCGCTACTTGAGCATTATTCGGAAGTCTTTGCTGAGCGAACTTCATTACCTCTTCCTCGTCCAGGTTTTGATCACAAAATTCAAAGTAAGGACGAAATCCAACCTTTCAATTTACACCCTTATCGTTTTTATCTCGTACATAAGAACATTATAGACAACATTGTACTGGGTAATGTTGGATCAATGTATTGTGCAGCATAGTAATAGTCCCTTTTCTTCTCCCACTATATTGGTGCACAAGAAAGATGGATCATGTCACCTACGTGTAGACTTTCGTAGAATCAATGACATTACCATTAAAAATAGTTTTCCAATTCCCTTAATTGAAGGTTTGATGGACGAGCTTGTGTAAGAACAAGATTTGGTTCTGCAATATTATCTATGAGTTTTGATGATAACAAATGAGTATATTTGTGTGAATAATTTTGTTATACTAATGTTTGTTATTGTTGAGTACTTAACAAACATGTTGTGCTTCTGATGGTTAGTATGGCCAAAATATTTGAAGTGAATTCCGCTTTTACGCTACACAAGTTCTGCTGAACAGTAGCAAGACACTCCAAAAAACTCTGAAGTGTAAGCCCTGATATTTGTCTAAAGAAATCAGTCAGAAGATCTGAAGATAGAAGTTGCTACTTACTTCTAGATGCTGAAGACTCAAGCTTCTAAAGACAACGTGTTCTAAGGAAACAATCAAAAGATCTGAAGACAGAAGTTGTCACTTAAGTCTAGATGCTAAAGATTCACGTTTCTAAAAGACAGTGTATTCCAAAGAAAAAAAGTTAGAAGATCTGAAGACAAAGTTTCTACTGAAGTCCAGATGCTGAAAACCTAGTTTCTAAAAGACAACTTGTTTCAAAGAAGACAAAGTTAAAATATCTGAAGACAACATTTCTAACTGAAGTCTAGATGCTAAAGACTTTGTGTTTCTAATAACAAGGTTCTAAAGACAAGTATTCTTAAAGAACTAAGTGCTAAAGATTATAAAGATAGAAGGTCTGGAGATTCCAAAGACTTAAAGTTCTAAAGTCCAAGGTTATCTACAACGGGTTCTCAAGACCAAGTGCTGAAGACTCTAAAGATGTAACTCTTAAGACTTTGAAGACTTGAAGCTCTTCTAATCCAATGTTCGCTACAATGGGTTCTCATGACCAAGTGATGAAGACTCTGAAGACGCAGTTTTGAAGACTCTAAAGACTTGAAGTTATGAAGACCTTATGTTATGTTTCCCCTTCTAACCTCATGCTCGCAGAAGCCTCTGAAGTGCAAAAGGTAAGAATATAACAGTAACATAGTACAATAGTACACAGTACGAAAAAGGTTTATGCCACTACCTTTCCACTAACTTAAAGTGTGGAAGAGATAAGGACGTAGCAGTACTATTTGTAACGACTCTTTTTCAAATAGCCAACGACTCTATTTTGCTTGGCTATATAAGAAAAGAATTGTATGTTTAAATATGTTGATTAGTTTGATGCGTGTGTATGCTAGTTGCTTGTTGCAAGTCGCATGTTGCTTATAGCAAGTCACAATTTATTGATATTCAATTTTGAAATGAAAGTTGTCATTATTGGAACACAACAAAAAAGATATCATCCACTATAACAACAACAAGAATTCTGCAAGATGTTATTCAAATCACCAATCATATACATCTTAGCATAATTATGAAAAATCAAGGAGTTGTTGCTCATATCTTGATTAATGAAGAAAGAAGATGAAGAATTCTACAAGATGTCATTCAAACTATCAATCATATACATCTTGACAGAATTATGAAGAAGCAATGAGTTGTTGCTCATAGCTTGCTCAACAATGAAGATGAAGACAAGAAGACTACAAGATGCTGCACTTAATTTAGATTTTATTCATCCTTATAGAAATATGTAAAACATAAGAATTGTTGCTCATATTGTGTTATTGCTTAAGATCTTCATGTAAATTGTTTGTACACATGAGTTGTTACTCAGAATTGTGTCAAACAATATGTACTTAAATTAGGAGTAATCTGCTTAATAAGAAGCGCTCATGTAATCTTCAGTAAAACAATTTTGTTTAGAATTGGTTGGTTCCTCAAGTGATCGAGTAAAGATCAGAAGGCTTGAGAAGACTTTGGCTGCGGCCATCATAGGTGAAATCCTGGTCATGGATTCTATTGGATCAATGATAGTCATATCTCAAAGGATACTGAGTGAATGTCAACCTTCTGAGATCACTGATGGATATCATTGGAAGGAAATCCTGGTAGGAGATTCTAGTGAATTGGATTCTATTGAGTTAATGAATGTTATATCTAGTCTGGATCCCTGAACGCGTCATTATATGTTAGTCACCGGAAGTTGCCTGTATGATTGTAATCAGATTGATTATAGTGGATTAATTCGTTGAGATCAAGGCGAAATCACCTCAGAAGGGTGGACTGGACTAGCTTGGAGGTTTCTTAAGTGAACTAGGATATATTGTGTGTTCTTTACCTTTGTTTATGCTTTAGATTTTATTTTTTCTTAACTTCATTAGAAACATTACTTAGAAGTAACAATCAGAAGCATTGTTCAACGAACAATGCTTAGAAGTGAAAGTTATACAAGAAAGGAAAACCCAATTCAAACTCTCTTTCTTGCGTTTTTTTCACACCTTCAGCTTCATGGTGATACTATTTTTTTCAATCTAGATATGAGATATGGCTATCATCAATTGAGAATGACTCAACGGGAAGAATACAAAACAACCTTCAAGACTCACAGTGGCCATTTTGAGTACCTTGTGATGCCCTTTGGCCTTACAAACGCACCAATATCTTTTCAAGCTCTTACGAACCAGGTTTTTAAACAATTTCTCAAAAAAGTTGTCATAATTTTCTTTGATGATTTACTAGTTTACATTCAGTCCTTAGAAGAGCACATTGATCACTTACATTTTATTTTCCAAACCTTTCGAGCAAATCAACTTTTTTTGAACAAAATGAAATGTGCTTTTACGGAACCGAGAATTAAGTATTTGGGACACTTTATCACCAAGGAGGGAGTCTCTAACGATCTTGCCAAGATCCTTGTTATCAACTCTTGTCTATGCCACAAAACCTTAAACAATTGAGAGGGTTCTTAGGGTTAGCTAGATACTATCGCAGGTTTGTAAGGGACTTTTGTAAGATAGTCAAACCACTGACTGATTTGTTAAAAAAGGACAATTTTCATTGGTTTAAAGAATCTACAATTTATTTTGATCATTTGAATCAGCCGTTAATGAGTGCTCTTATTTTAATTTAGACTATTCCAGCGTTGTTCAAAGTCCTTGAATTCAAGAAATACAAGGGGCATGCTTGTCCGAAGGATCATCTAACAATGTACTTCCACAAAATGGTTTCCTATGAAAATAATGGTAAGTTGTTGATTCATTACTTCTAGGATAGCCTGACTGAAGCATTTCTAAAGTGGTACATAAGCTTGAAGAAGGACTATATCCAATAGTGGAGGAACCTGGATGAGACCTTCATATACAAATACAACATGGATATGGCTCCTAACCGGAGGAAACTACAAATTATGACTATGAAAAAAAAAAAGAAAAATTCAAAGAGGACGCTCAACGCTGGAGAGAGATAATTGCCTAGGTAGGGAATCCTATAGCTGAGAAGAAGTAATAAACTAAACTTCATCTACTGTCAACCAGTATAAGAATTTAAAGCACAAAACATTGATAAGTTACAAGAAGCCTCTTTCTTGTAACTTAGTAATGTTTTGTTCTTGTTTTGAGAATATTTATCAATAATAACAACATACAACAATACAACAAATACATGCAACAAATTTTTTTAAAAAAACATACATTTTATAAACAAAACACTAACAACATACAATATCACAAGATATATTAAATTGTTTCAAGAACGCACCTTTTATTGAAAATAATCTTGGAACTGTAACAAATTATGAAGTTCATCTAGTTTGTGATACTATGAAAAACAAATACAATATGGATAAAGTTTCCACAATAACTTCATACTTCTTGTATTTTTTTCATAGAAACACAAACTATATGTACCATAGACAAAGTATGCGCTTTATTAAGGTGGTGAAAATGAATCTGAAAAAATGAGAACAATCAACACCTTATCAACTCATGCTATACGCTTTCCACCACCATCATCACCATGCATCATCCCTTTAATCATCCAACACTATAATCTGCAAGGAAATACAACAAACTTCAACCATGAGCATAATCACAATACATCCAACAACCATAACATCACATTGTTACACACCCCCATATATACATGGACAAGAAAATTTCAAAACAAATTCAGTTTGCAAAACAAACTCACAAAAACAAATTCAATCAAAATAGATTCTCATATGCTTCAAATTTCCACACATACAAACAAACTCTATAAAGCAACCTACTGACTCTTTGCAATGGATCTACCATTTTCCTACCGTTACGCTGCTGAAGTTGAAACCAAACACTAAAACCATAATCCTAACTTCTAAGCATCAACAACATCCAGAAGAAAAGTAGAAATAAGAGAGAAAGTGTAGAGTAAAGAGAGAGAAGGAGAACATATCATCTTTGTCGCCGTTGGAGTTTGTGCCAAGCGTTTCTCCGATAAGGTAACCTTTAAGCTTCCTTTAAGAGTTTTCTATTTAGGGGTAGTAGTCATCAGAGAAAACGGATGCGCATAAGTTGATGATATGTTAAGTTTTTCTTTAGAGAGAAACGTCTGTTATGAATTGGGACACAAATACTTTCGTTTATATATAAAAAAAATATCACTTTTCATGATGGTTGACAAGGAGAATCATAATGATATATCATTTTAAATAAAAAACAAAATATATCACAACAGTTGAGCAAAACAACTGTAGTGGTATTCCTTTTATTTTTTATTTAAAAATAAATAAAAAAGAAAATATGCGTCTTAACGTTAAAGGAATAAAATATTTGAGGCGCTAAGGTTTGAACTCATGAAAGCTTGATTGTATCATCACGGTGGATACACCAACCGTTATTATGTCCTAACAATTTTTATTTAAAAAAAAAATAGCGCCTTAGTTTAGAGATGTCACCACGGTGTTTGGAAGAACCGTGGTGACTTGGGCATTGTTGTATGCACGTTTTGTAGTAATGTCTCACAAAAGTAGAGTTAGACTTAATAAAAATTCAACATGCAATCATTGTTCTTCTTTTAAGTAAAAAAAATG